ACGAATAGCACTGCAAGTAGTGTGAATTCTATATGACAATGATGTTATACCGAACTTCCACATTGATACTAGCTAAAAGCCCAGACACTTGTTTCGCCGATGTTTCTGGTGCTGTTTCATGTACGCGTGATCGCCTCTTCTTTTCATTTATGTCCGGGAACATGCATTTTCGCTTCAATTAGTGACATGGAAGTAGCAGAAGCCAATCCACGGACAACATAACGGCCATGGTGTGCGCGTAAGCCACACATATAATACAAGACAAGCGACAAGACAAAATAAATCATTCCAAGATGGATCGATTAATTCACCTCTCTGATGATATAAACGGGCATATTTTTGAAACGTTAGCACAAACACATGGTGGTCCATGTATGCCGCCTTAAATTTTTTTAATCTTTTTTGGGAATTTTGAACGGCATAATTTATCAGGACCTCGTATCTTCATTTAGATATATATATATATATATATATACGTAAATGCGAACTGAAGCGCGAGTGTATTCTATTCCCCATATGCTGAACTTCCAACGAAATGCGTGCTCTTTCCATACTGTACTCTTAGTTATTATTAGAAGGGAAATTAATATTAAAGTTTGGTGTTACACGTGTTTGTTAGAATATCTCACAACGTGTCTTGTGCTCTATTATTAACCTTTCCTATTTTTTTATAAAAAAACTCCTGAAGCGTGCTGTATTTAAAAAAAATGAAGCAGTTCCAATTTCTAATTTTATGCAATATATTTTGTATTTTACGCCAGATAACACTCCGACTGTTGGTAAGCATAAACTGACGCAAATTTATCGGTGATATTTTCGTTACAGTTTAATCTAATCAATTATCGTTTCGCAGTGCAAAAACACGGCTTTGCGACCTTCTGGATCCTGTTTCTATATTTATAATCTGTTTTTTTGTAGAAAAAGAAGAGGTGAAAGACGATGTGAATTTTGACAGTCCAGAATGTACGTGCGCATTTCTGATAATTCGAAGATCAAAAGTGACGTTTTTTATTAAATTAAAATGTGATTGACTGATGTGGGTTTTCAGGGTCATTGAAGGTCAAGCTGGAAGAGGTCTTCAACGAGGTCTGCAACGGTAAGTCACTTAACTTAACGTGCGTCAATCAACTAACTTTAAACCTGCACGTTCTTTTCGACGCTGTCCATATTACACATTGGTACTCTATTGCCCAGCTGCTACTTATTCAACTCTCGTGTAGTATTTTGAAATTAAAAATTATTTGCTAATACATCTCACAACATCTCACAATGGAAGACCCCATTCGCCTAGCAAATAATCGACTGTAATGGAGCGTCATGGTTTTAATCATTTCCTGTAAAATACTAAAATATTCCTACATAGACAGATAAGCGTGTAATAGTCTGTGATTTTGGGTGGGACTCATGTATCACTCTGCGTAAGTTGGAGATTCAAAAAGCGAACGACTATCGTTCCCTCCGTAGTTGAATGTACATATGACCTGCAGTTGCAAATTTGTGTTAAAAACCATCTAGCCCTTCAAGTTAGTTTCCTCAGGATTCTTAGGTATATGGCCCATTTTATGTTGGACAATTCTTATCGGCCTATGGACAATTTTTAAATGGAAATATCAGCTTATATTTTATGCATGTTGGAATTGTGATATGGAGCTGAATTTTTTAATAGCAACCCCGCCTACGTTGCATATAGAAGTTTGTGAAGCTGAGTTTTCAGTAAATAAGTATATGGCGGATGCGGACTGTTAACTACGAGTTCACCGATGGCTTCTGCTTATCCGATATGGCCAATCCGCGTTATGTTTGCTTTCGCAAAAGTGCACACCAATTCTTACTAATTATGGAGTTTCATGTATCTATTGACATCTCCTTATTTGTAAAATATTACAATTTGTAAACTATGCAAATATATGTATATACTTAAATAATATTAGTATCAGTGTTAAGTACAAGTTCGTGGTAGTGTATCTTAAACACAGTCACTTGGATCAAATGCTTTTTCAACCATTTACTGCACATTTATTATGCAAAATGTTACACCGTTGTATTCTGTCTAATTATTGAACAGACCTACTAGCACTTATAAGGTAGTCGTTAGCAGCAGTTGTCTATGCCTTTTTTACTCAATTTAGTCGAAAAATCGATGCGGTCCAACTTTAACGTTGCCACAAAATACGCTTATGTCAATTTGCTCCGGTTATGCGGATTGCCATATGGCTCATGACTTCCAAAAAACTAAGGGAACTTTGTTTGTGAACTTCACACTCAAAGCATAGTGTGCATAAGTTGCCACCTCCACCATTCAGGTGCTTTAGATCACCTACGACTGCAGGGTCATTGGGACGGATATATCT